ACGGATTGTGGCTTTTATGGAGAGATGTGACAGAGGTATATAAAATCATATATGATATAAAATGTGCATAGACAAATATCTGTATCTTTCTAAATATTACTACTTGGAGACAGTTAGGCTCCATAGAACTAAACTCTTTTTAAAACTGAATGTGATAATGGCTACTAATTTAGACATTTTTTTAAAAAAAATTGCTAGACAAATTGAACGAATATGTAATATTGTTTCTATTCTGCACCGAAGGCAGAAAGCTTTAAATATTAGCTGTTGGGGAGTGACTGGGAAGGAGAGCTATTACCTTCCTGCTTTTTTTTAATGAGCTCCCTGGAAGCATCTAGCTGACCTTTATTTTTCATCTCAAAACCTACTTATCGCCAGTAAAATTGGCCTGCAGAGCAGTTGGCAATAAAAATAAAAAACAAAATTACAATTACAAAGTTTGCTAAGCCACAAAACACAATATAAAACCCACAAATAACAGGAATATAACTTTAGATAACTTCAGGTATAACTATCTGATTAACAATCTGAAAAGCAAAGTCCTGAGGGGGAAGTTTGACCCTTTTTTAAAACAAACCACTAGAATAGAATACAGCTGGAAGGGACCTTGGAGGTCTTCTAGTCCAGTCCCCTGCTCAAGCAGGAGAACCTATACCATCTCAGACAGGTGAATGTCCAGACTCTAGTCTCTTCTTAAAAGTCTCCAGTGATGAGGCGCCCACGATTTCTGGAGGCAAGCTGTTCCACTGGTTGATTGTCCTTACTGTCAGGAAGTTTCTCTTTAATTCCAGGATGCTTCTCTCTTTGATCAGTTTCCAATCATTGTTTCTTGTCCTTCTCTGGTGCTTTGGTGAACAACCTGGCCCCCTCTGCCTTGTGGCAGCCCCTCAGATACTGGAACACTGCTATCACGTCTCCCCTCTTTCTTCTTTTCTGTAGACTAGCCAAACCCAAGTCCCGCAGCCGTTCTTCATATGTTTTAGCCTCCAGGCCTTTGATCATCTTAGTTGCTTTTCTCTGAATTTTTTCCAAACTCTCAACATCTTTTTTGTGATATGGTGACCAAAATTGGCTGCAGTATTCCAGGTGCGGTCTTACTAGGGTTTTATAAAGCTGTATTAATACTTTGTGTGATGTTGATTCTATGCCTCTGTTTATACAACCCAGGATTGTATTAGCTTTTTTGGCTGCTGCTGCACACTGCTGACTCATGGTTAAGTGATCATCCACTAGGACTCCAAGGTCTCTCTCACAGTTACTGTTTTTAAGCCAGGTCTCACCCAATCTGTACTTGTACCTTTGGTTTTTCCTGCCTAAATGTAAAACTTTGCTTTTCTCCACATTAAAACTCATTTTGTTGGATAGGGCCCATTGTTCAAGTTTGTCAAGATCTTTTTGGATCCTGAGCTTGTCTTCTGGGGTGTTGGCTACTCCTGTCAGTTTGATGTCATCTGCAAATTCGATGAGTTCCCCTTCAATTCCCTCATCTAAGTCATTTATGAAGATATTGAAGAGTACTGGGCCTAAGATGGAACCTTGTGGTACATCACTGCTTACTTTTCTCCATGTGGATATAATGCCATTGAGGACTACTCGTTGAGTACGATTTGTCTATTCCATCTTTTCCTAGCTTACCAAGGAGTAGGTTGTGGTCTACTTTGTCAAATGCCTTACTGAAATCTAAGTATACTACGTTCACTGCATTTCGCTAGTCTACTAGTTTAGTCACTTGATCGAAGAATGAGATAAGATTGGTTTGGCATGATCTGTTTTTAACAAACCCGTGCTGGCTATTAGTTATGACTTTGTTTGCTTCTAGTTGTTTGCAGATCTGTTTTTTGGTTATCTTTTCTAGAATCTTAATAATAATAATAATAATAATAATAATAATAATAATAATAATAATAATAATAATAATAATAATAATAATAATAATAATAATAATAATAAAGTTGGAAGGGACCTTGGAGGTCATCTAGTCCAACCTCCTGCTCAGGGAGGAAACCCTATACCATTTCAGACAAATGGCTGTCCAGTCTCTTCTTAAAAACTTCTAGTGTTGGAGCATTCACCACTTCTGGAGGCAGGTTGTTCCACTGGTTAATTGTTCTAACTGTCAGGAAGTTTCTCCTTAGTTCTAGGTTGCTTCTCTCCTTAATTAATTTCCATCCATTGCTTCTTGTCCTGCCTTCAGGCGCCTTGGAAAATAGCTTGACTCCCTCTTCTTTGTGGCAGCCCGAGATATTGGAATACTGCTATCATGTCCCCCCTCGTCCTTCTCTTCATTAAATTAGACATACCCAATTCCAGCAGCCTTTCCTTATATGCTTTGGCCTCCAGTCCCCTGATCATCTTTGGTGCTCTTCTCTGTACTCTTTCTAGAGTCTCAACATCTTTTTTACATCGTGGTGACCAAAACTGGATGCAGTATTCCAAGTGTGGCCTTACTAAGGCATTGTAAAGTGGTATTAATACTTCACGTGATCTTGATTCTATCCCTCTGTTAATGCAGCCCAGCACTGTGCTGGCCTTTTTGGCAGCTGCAGCACACTGCTGGCTCATATTTAAGTGATTGTCCACTAGGACTCCGAGGTCCCTCTCACAGTTACTACTATTGAGCAAGGTACCCCCTATACTATACCTGTGCATTTAGTTTTTTGTTGCCTAAATGTAGAATCTTACTTTTTTCACCATTGAATTTCATTTTGTTAGATAGCGCCCAGTGTTCAAGTCTGTCCAGATCCTCCTGTATCCTAAGCCTGTCTTCTGGAGTGTTGGCTATTTCTGCCAGCTTGGTGTCATCTGCAAATTTGATGATTTCCCCATCTATCCCCTCGTCCAAGTCGTTGATGAAGATGTTGAAGAGCACTGGGCCCAGAACAGAGCCCTTGGGCACCCCACTACACACTT